GGTGGTTGGGAGGCCGAACAGGATGGGAATCACAATGAGTTATGATCGGCAAGAGTTGCCTACCTTTTGGGCTTAGTGTGATTAGTCGAGTCTCTTGAGGTTATACTAAGATACTGATTGCATCCCGATCCCCACTAGAAGTCTACCAGAGACTTCTGTTTTACGTGTTGAGGGTTTCACGTGACTCACTAGTAAAATGGTGAGAGTAGAGTAAGATAGAAGTTTATATCTTAATTGTTTATTTTTGTAAAATATGTATGTTATTAATTCTATATCTTTATTTTCAGAAATATCGATTTCAAATCCCTTACGTGGCAACAACTATGGGGCGATTGCTCGAATAAGGGAACCCGAGTCTTATTAGAAGTGTTCCGATGAGGTTCCTACTTATTAGAGAAATCGTGGCCCGAGAAGATATAGGAGTGGAAAGAGTTTCATCTGAAGATAACATTGTAGATCGACTGACAAAACCGTTGTCTCAAATTGTCTTTGAGTGTCATAGGGGTCTGATGGGGATCAGACACATAGGTGAGTGATGACACGTATGACTTGACATGCAGTCTTTTTGCTTATTATTATTATTTGATATTTTATCATTTTATATTATCTATTGCTTGAATATATTGTGATGTTCATGAATTTGTACAATGAGAATCAGATCATAATGAGATCACGATAATGAGATCGATTTGCCTTTAAATACATATTATAAATAATCTCGGTCATAGGTTACTCGAGAGGGACATCGAGATAACCGAATGGACTAGTGTGCTGTATACCCATCCATATGATGTATGCAGTTAGTCTCATAACTACTCGTGTGGGGACACTAGTGATACAGTACCTGTGCTCATTTGAAAATGAGTTCACTGATGGATTGGCTTACAAAATGCTGGATGGTTGATGATGCCTTATTGTCAAACAACGATTCCGTAGTCTCAGTGGTATATCTGGTCATTAGACTTGAGACACCATGGATGTCCTGTATGAGTACTCCACTCTTTGATACCAGACTTATAGGTCTGGAGGTTCCAGATCAAGCACAACTGCAGCAATGTACTTCGCCTCTATGGTCGAGTCAGTAGTAGTATCTTGCTTCAAACTCTTCCAGCATACCGCTCCTTTATTCAGGGTGAATACATACCTTGAATCAGACTTGCTATCATTGACATCGAATTGGAAGCTCGAGTCAATGTAGCTCTCAATATTGAGGCTACTTCCTCCATATACCAATACAAGATCATTAGTCTTGTTGAATCTCGGATTTTGATGATGAAACCAATTGATAAGTGTTTATGATTTAATATGTATTTTGAGTGATGCATGATGCTTCGATCAAGGAGAGACAATTAAAGCAGGAATAATCATGTTGGGCCAGAGGAAAACGTGTCATGAGATTGGATGCCAGACCAGAGGATCGGTAGACGTATCGATAGAAGGTTTCGGGCCATGGATTCGGGCATCGGGCCAAGAAGAGCAGATATTGCGCCAAGGATATCGAAGTTGCGGAAGGTCAACTGACCGATTGGGTAATAGGTCACAAGAGAGGACGATGCTCGAAGAATCGGACGAAGCATCGATGGACTAATGATATGCCGGACAATATGATTCATGCTTAGTAATAATTGTCTAGATCGAAGTATGTTTTTGTGTGTATAGGATTAACTACGATAGCAAGACATAAAGCAAAATGAAGTCCCGGAGTCAAGAACGCGATTTCGTTGGGAGTTCGAGAGTTCGTCGGAAGTCTGGATGTTCGTCGGAAGTTCTGTCAGAACCAACTGAGAAGTCCAAGAGCTTGCCAAAGAAGCTTGTTAGAACTCGCCAAGAAGATCGTCGTGAAGTCCAAGAGCTTACCGGGAGTCCGCCGGAACATTACCGAGAGATCGTCGGAAGTTCGCCGGAAAAAACCGAACTTATCTTACTTAGATTATGTCTTAGGAATTGTAGTTAGCATATAATTAGAGTTGGAATTGGGAGGTAATCCCATCAACTCTGTTAGGGGCCAACTGAGCCCAAAGTTGGGCTGGTTTCAGCCAAATTCAAAGCCCAACCAGGGTACTAAAAACCTAGCTGACGGTGACACCGCTTGGAGAACAGTACCCCAGGAAATCTAGGCGGTGGTACCGTCCTTGTTCGACGGTGGTATCGCCCAGTAGCAGATCCTGTGATGATAGTACCGCCTAGGAACGACGATGGTACCGCCAGTACCCAGGAAACCTAGGATGAGACCTTTTTAGGCTCAAAGTTTGAATCAACTTGAAGCCTATAAATACCTCTCTCATCCTTTGTTAACTTACACAAGCACAGAGAATTTAAAAGGGGAAAAATGTTGTTGTAATCTCTTGTGAGAATCCTCCTCTTCTAGTATAAGTGTTAGAATAGTTTGAGAGAGGAGTGAGTGCTTGTAAGGGTTGTCTCTTAAACCCGGTAAAATAAGAAGAGGGGTGTAAGAAAGAGGTTGATCTTTTCCTATTAAAGGAAGATCGATAGTGGATGCTGGTAGCTTCGACGGAAGAGGAATCGACGAAGTGGATGTAGGTCACGACGATCGAACCACTCTAAAATCTGGTTTACATCTTACTTTGAGCAATTTATCTTTACTGTAAATCACTTTACTTCTTTACTTGCTTTACATTTAATATGCTCTTACTTTGCATTCAAAGTTAAGTATTTCTGAAATCGATTTTATCGTACGAAAGATTTTCAGAATCGATTTGAATACGTATTTTACCGTTATTGTGTCCTCATTTTGGTTGGTGCTATTGTGTCCTCATTTAATTAATTTTCATTGTAGATTAACATCAATTTTAATTGGCATAATATTATTTGTAAACTACTGAACATTGTATTTGGCATAATGTTGTTCATAACCGATTAAACATAATAGTGTTGGTTTTGTTGAGATTAGAAGCCTATTTCGGTGAGTTACAATGTTTCTATTATAGTGACCAAAATAATATAGTATTATTTATTAAACACACTATTTAACATTTTAGGAGCCATTTAGATGATTTACAATATTTTAAAATAGTCTTTATAGTATTTTTTATTGTAGTAACTAAAATAAGCTACTGAAAAATATTATAATTGACATCATATTATTCCTCTTTTATATCATGCACGTAGAATATTACAGCACCAAATTTGTAGAGTCTCTAGTTAGTTTTGGTTGAGGTTAAAAATCATTTGGGTGATTTATAATGTTTTGAAATAGTCTTTATCATATTTTTGCTATGGTGATTAAAACCTTGTACCGCTATTGAAAAATATTATAATTGACATCATATTATATCTCTTAGGATATCATTGTTCTTAGGCCATTATAATATTGTAATACCAAATTAGGAGGCTCATAGTTGGTTTTGGTTGAGAATAAGAGTCATTTCAGTGTTTTACAGTATTTTCAAGTAGGCTTTATAGTATTTTTATTACGGTGACCAAAATGCTATAAAGCTAATGAAAAATACTATAATTATCATAATATTATGACTCTTACAGTATCATTACTCTTAGATCATTAGACTATCAAATTCATATGATTCTGGTTGGTATGTTAGAAGTCATTTACATTATTTTCAAATATGTTTTATAATATTTTTTATGGTGACCAAAATATAATAAAAATTATTAAAAGTATTATAATTTATATGTATTTCGTACAAGTCATAAAAAGTCATCTAAGGTTTTTTGGAACATCATTATAGTATTTTCATTCATATCTGAAAAAAACACACTATAAAAAAGTCATTTACCAAATTCTTGTCATTCATTACACTTCATATCATGCCAATAGTTACAATATGACATAATTTATAATGCTAGTTTCCATACAAGTCATTAAAAAATATTTAGGTGTTTTAGAACTTCTACACAATGTTTTCATTTGCATTTGAAAAAACACTGTAAATGGGTCATTTTCCAAATTCTTATCTTTCAATTTCATATAATATCAACAATTCATTCATATACAGAAAACAATATATCTAAAAAAAAACACTGTATCTAAATAAGAGAAATACTGTAAAAGGATCATTTTCCAAATTCTTATTATTCATTATACTTCACACCATGTCAACAACTTCAATATGACATAATCTGCTATGGTATGTTTCGCATAAGTTACAAAAAATCATTATAGTGTTTTAGTTCATATTAAGAATATATTGTGTATGAACAAAAAAATCATAAAGAGATTATTTTCTAATTTCTTATCATTCATTTCACTTTATCTCATGTCAACAAACGGAATGAGACAATTTATCGTAATGTATTCCATATAAGTCATAAAAAAATATTTAGGATGTTTTAGACTGTCTATATTAAGGTTCGTTATATCGTACTGTATCGGTGTTTCGATCCGGGCTCGGTATAGTATGGTACCGGTGTACTGGGCGGTACATTAGGACGTACCGAGCGATACACCCTGGTGTATCGAACAATTTTTTATTTTTTCATACTATAGCAGTACTATAGTATAGTACTGTAGCGGTACCGGACGGTCCGCATACCGATAACCTGTCGGACCGGTATATCGCTTCGGTATGACAGACCTTGGTCTATATAGTATTTTTGTTCATAGATATGGTGTTTACTGTATCTAAAAATAACATTATGTAAAGAGTTCATAATTCAACATATTCCTATACAAATCATTGTTAAAAACTAAAGCATGATGAAAATAATGTAAAAGGTGGATTAAACTTATATGAGACAATTGAATCAAAATAAAACAGAACAGTATAATTAAGGTAAATTAAATAATTGTTATATATATTTTTTATGCCATTTCCTAAACAGTGTGGTCAGAGAGCACATCAACTCCGTCGTCACGGGTTAAGTTACAACTGGGTTCCGACGGTCAAATAACAAGTCACGGATTTGGTCACAACCGGCAGTCGAGGGATGCCGCGGCCGAAATCGTTGTCAAAGTCGTGGCCCGAAGCAGGCCTTCGTTTAAATGGCACCGCAGCCATCTTCTTCAAACAATTCACGGAGGACACGCACAAGACGAAGCTCTCCGATCGTCCTCCGCCTCTCTTTTCCCTCGGTCCACCGCAAGACCAGAAGAAGGGGAAGGTAAAATTTAAGGAGGAGAGGGCGTCGGGAGAGACGAAATTGAGGCGAAGAAAGAGGAACGCTCGGTCCCCCAAAACCCTGCAAACCCTAACCCTTGAATCGAAGGTGAGGACGGTGGATGGAGCTCGAGAACACGGTGAAGGAGGCCTTGAACGCCCTCTACCACCACCCCGACGACGCCGTCCGCGGCCGCGCCGACCGCTGGCTCCAGGACTTCCAGCGCACCATCGACGCCTGGCAGGTAACGCCACGGCCTTCCGCTTCTACTCTGGTTCTTGTTATCTCCGGAATTTCGTACCCATTTGTCAATGATCCTCCCGTTTTAGCTAGAATCTTGTCGAGGATGGTTGCCACTCGCTAATCTAATAGTGTGAAGGGTTTGGGATTACAGCACGATTATTCCAATGTTGGTATTTTCTGTGAAATCCGTGGTAGTTTAATGAGGAAATAGAACCACACAGACGCTTTGTGGTCCCTCAAGTTGGGTCTCGATTTGCATTTCCTATCATAGATTCCTCCATCCGCCATGTGTTAGTGAGCTTGCTAAAGATAACTGTTTCATTTGAGGATGTTCTCGCTTCAATTCGATTCGTATCAAAAGCCAATGCCTGTCAGAGACAGGTACATCCAGTCATGCCAAAAATTAAATAATCCACTTTTCTTATTTGTTTTCTTGTTCATTTGGTGTTTGTGTCCACAGTCAATAAGCAGGAGTTCAAGTCCTGTAAGCGTCAAGCACACATGTTATGTAATACTTGAATGGAAGGAGCAATTTAAAAAAATAAAGAACTTTAATTCTTCAAAGTAAGAGTCATACATACCTTATATATATTTACATCATCTTTTAGATGTATTAATCATTTCATGTATCTAATAGCTGAAGGCACTGTAGGTCCTACTAGAAATTGCTAAATGATAATTAAACAAGGATACATTTTAAAGTTCACAGATAAAAGGGATTGCTTATACTTAAAGTCCACAAACTGTTGTAATAGCAATAGTTTGAGAAACCATTTGAAGAGGCTAATGAGAACTTTGAAGACAACAAGCAAGTCCACACATTGAATCATGTGGTTACATTGTTGCTTCATATTTCACATTTCTTGTGAGGGTTAAATGGTAGACTTCATCGATGGAAACAGGCTAATTGCTATGTTCCTAATACCAACTATATATGATTTTGAAAGCTGAAGGTTACTAAAGAATCTAATTGTTTACATATATTTGATTAGCTTGACATAAAATTAATAGAGTACAAGTTGTGGCTAAATTTTTTTTGAGAAGAATGGATATTTTATTTGTGATTTCATTATTGAGGGTCCGTGTTCTGGATGCAAAATGAATGGGAATTATGATATTTCGTCTCTTTCAAATGAAAATTGGTATTCTGAAGCATTTAACAGTCTGGACTTTTCGTTTTGTTGAATATATTGTTTATCATTTGTTTTCAGTAATTAGGTTAGAGAAGCAGATTTATTGTAGAAACCACAAAGTTCTAGGAGAAGCCATCTTTGACGGAATCTTCTCATTGGAAATGTGATGTCTTCTGTGTATGAGTTTTATTTGAATATCTTGTCCGCTCTATATAGTTGTGGTTCACTGGTTTAGCTTAAAGCAGCCCATAAGAACTGAATCAAACTTCTTCTATGGTTTCTCTCTTGATCCCATATAGGAACTGCTCTCAGCAGAAACTAATGCTTTGGACTCAAGTCTTATTCAGTGCTGTATGGCTTTGGCATGAAAGTCATGGTGCAACTTGAGTTGGAAACTAAGACAAGTCTAGTTAGCATCGGAGACGTCAAAAGGTGCTCAGGTGCTTGCCAAGACAGTTGGGTGAGTTTAGGCCCAAGTGCCTCGATGTATTACGGGTGAGGTCTAGGCACCATCCACGAGCACCTTAGTTGAGGCACTAGGCATCCCAGGTGCTTGCCGAGGCTGATCTGGGCGACCCAGATCTTCAACCTGATCCAAACCCAATTCTGTTGGCCCTTTCCCCCTAGCTGATCCAAATATAATCCCCCACACCTGACACCTGCACTATGCCCTATCATCTTTATTGCTGATTCTTTTGCCACTAGTCACGTCTCTTTCTATATAATGCATCTACTCTTCTCTTCTTACATCTTCTGTTTCTCTTCCTTCCTCTTCCTCTCTCCACTGCCAGAACACGTTGCTGCCATCCTCTCTGCATTCTTTCCTCTCCTTTTGTTGTCTCATGTTAGAACAGAGAACATAGAAGGCTATACATTGCTTGAGAAGAAGAGGTAAGTATTCTTTTTTTGTGTTATCTCTTGTTTGATCTCCCCATTTTTGGGGTGTTGCGAGCCAGCACCTTTGTTCACATGATGGTTGACCATGTATGACATGGCAGCTGCCATTTAAAAGGTGGGGGTCTTATATTATCTACATATTCGTTCCAAGAATAGGGTGTTTTTTGCACAAAAGAAATTCTTGAAAGGTGCAGCATCTAGTATGGGATATAATCTTAATAAGGCAAGTGATATAGAATGTGAAAAAATTGTTTGTTTCTTTTCTTTAAGAATAAAGGAATCTATTAGGCTGACTTTTCCAGTTCCTTTTTCCACTTATCCTGTTGCTCGTTTTCTTGTCATTGCTCTTCTATTTTTTCTATTCCTTTTGTTCTGGAAAGCTTATTACTCAGTGATTTCAATAGGCGCTCGGGCGAGGCGAGGCCCGAGCGCCTTGCTTCATTTCCAGGTGGCGCGCTTCAAAGAGCCCAGGCGTCGGACGCTTCGGGTGAGCGCCCGGGTTAAACCAGGCGACCGAACTAGCGTTTTAGGTGTGGTTCGGTCTTCAGTGCTTTAGTTGGTTCAATCGAACCAACTAAAGCATCGATATCAGCCTTCCTCTTGCGACTTCCCAACCCTAACCCTGCTCGTCGCTATCGCTGCTCGTTGCTACCGTTGCCACTATCGTCGCTCGCCGCTCCCGCTCCTGCTATCGCTACTTGTCACTATCGCTGCCGCTGCCACTATCACTGCTCGTTGCTCCCGTTGCCGTTGCCGCTGCCATTGTCATCGCTCGCCGCTCCCGCTTCCGCTGTTGCTTCTCGCTGCTACCGTTGTCGCTGCCGTTGCTCTCTGCTACCTCTTCTCACATCGACTCGATAGTATACTGTTAACAGTATACTAGTAACAATATATTTTTATTTATTAGACTAATAATATATTATTTTGATTTTAATACTGCTAATTTTTATTTATTTGAAATTATTGTTATTTTTTAAATTTTGAGATTTTTGTTAATGTGATATTGTGATTTTGTAAGTTTTTTTAAAATTTAATATCATATTTTTATTTAAATAATTATATTTATTAATTATATTATATATTTTTATATTTTAGTATTTCGTTTCGCTTGGGCGAGCGTCTAGCGCCTCTGGCGTTTTTGGACCTTAATGCTTTTTGACGCTTATGGCTTTTTAAATCATTGTTATTACTACTGTTTTGACTTAACGACACGTGTAACTGCTTTATTTTCTTGTTGGAAATGCTATTTGTTCCTTTAAATTTCTCCTGAATTCTTATAGCATCAGACTTATGTCTGCTAATCTGTAATCCAGGAACATTAGAATTGCAGGTTTCTGCTACATCTGCATTTAATTAAATGTATTTAAAATTTTTTGAGAGTTGATCAAATTCTTTGCTTTGAGCCCTGGGCTTTTCTATTTAAATTGGTGTTCCTATTTATACAATTTAGTAGACTCAGTTAAGAATGCAATAGGCATGGATGAGGGCCTTGGGAAATCTGTAAGTTCCACATCTTCATATTTAAGAATGCCTGGATGCATAAGATGCAGAATTTGAACTACCCAATACATGGCAGTTCATAAGTCTTTGACACCATCCATGTGGATTGAGTGCAAGATGGGGCAATCTTTGGTGGGAGAGGCTAGGTGGGTCTCCTTTTCTGTAATTTGCTGGGTTCTACCCTATTTAACATGAAAGCTAGGCTTCATTTTCATTTTTATATATCTTCTGCTCGTTCCCAATCTTAAACAAGCAAAAGAAATGATAATGATAACTAGATTTAACACAAAGAATGTGTAGTAAAGATATCTATGTCTGTCTTTTAGGCTGAAGTTCATTAGAATGGCATGTGTTGGTCGGCAGCATATGTGCACTAACTGGTCGGTAGCACATATTTGTCCTAGGATGGTTTTAGAAAAACATATGCAAATTTTGGGAGTCTATGAGTTACTTGATACTGCAGCAAAGACTATAAATATCTTTGGGAAGAAGGGTCATATTTGTTCTATAAGATAATGGGAATCAGGGAAACATCTTGTAGATATTGTATGCAAATCTATGACCTTGTTGCAACATAGCATGTGTGCTTGACCAGAATACTTAATAAAATGAAGCCACTATAATGAAATGTGGCTAGGATAAAGCTGTTAAAAAATGACCATTATTTATTTTTTAATTACCTTTATTATCTTATAGTTTCTGATTTCATTTCAGATGTTTTAGGTTGATTTTATTTGTAGCAATACTTATTTAAGTTTTTGTGATTTTTTTTTTCAGGTCTCTGATAACTTACTTCATGATGCCAACAGCAACATGGAGACACTGATATTCTGTTCCCAGACTCTTAGAAGCAAGGTAATATTGTATGCTTTTATTCAAGAATAACTTATGGGGCTTAAAGGTGATCTACCCTTCCATTCTTGTGTTGCTAGATTGTTTACAATTCTTTCCACTGTTAGGTACAACGGGACTTTGAAGAGTTACCTTCAGAAGCCTTTCGTCCGTTACGCGATTCATTATATGTGAGTTCCACATTTTAATAAATGTATGACATATTATAATGTTATTGGGCATATGCATGTGCTACCTAGTGAATTGAAGTTGCTGTGCTTGCCAGGCATTTTGGTTCACAGCTATATTTTCTAATTGTTGAGTCTTTTTGAATATGAATGCTTCAAGATTGTTGAACCTACTTCAGTTAGTTTATTAGGACCGATTTATCTTGTATACCTGTTCTCATACAATTAAATGAAGTCACTAATTATAAGAAAAATAAAGTTGCTCTTCTATTTTGCAGTAGTAGAACTTTTGACTAAAGCAGCAATAGAATAAGAGAGAATTTAGTGTTCTGAATGTCTGTCTTTTCACATCCTATTTTTGGATTTGGTGATCTTGATTTCTTTGTCTACTATCAATGTTGACACTTAATTTTAATTACTGTCTGATGTGCATGATTATAAACCCTAAAATACTTTCTCTCAATCTACACCATCCATAAGTCCTGAATGGCTATTTATCACTAGCATCTGTGAGATTAAAAAAATAAATTCAAGCAAGGTTACACTTCATTTAAGAGGTTGGGAGGTTGCTATTATTTCACTAGTATAGTAGTACCCTAGAGCATGGTTTTGAATACAGCAGTATCCCAGCACTAATATACAGGTCTAATAGCTTACAAGTATGCCAATTGCGCTAGTTGCTGTTGAGATATTAAATAATTTTTTAACTTATTTAATGTTTGGAGTTATATTGTACATGGTTTGCTGTACCACCCGAGTCGGTATGGTACAGGCAGTATGTACTTGTCCAACTCACCATTGAGATGCGGCTTGCTCGAGTCCCTGTTGACATGCCTTGGCGTATTGTGTGTCGGTACATCGGTACAGATCGATACGTACCATACCAACAAATCTTCAAGATGGGTCCGGTATCCGAAATGACGAATCTTGATATTGTAGTGTACCGGTCAGAATGTACTAGTTTTGTAAGATTTTGCTACAAATATTAGTACTGCTATCTAAAACCTTGCTTTAGAACCTTCATGCCAACATATTAAGTTGTAGGTTGCACTCTGGTTTTACTAGTTCCATTGATGGAGACCAATAAATTAGTGTCACATGGATGTTTGTAAAGATTTCTGGTTTCATGAATGAAATATGCTTCCAAACAAGTAGCATTCCCTTTTGTGTTATATTTGATCTTAGTTTTCCGTAATTGAATCTCATCCAACCATGCAACCTATTTGTACAGTGTTTTTGAACTTTTGAGATATGCTGTGGGAACAACTTTATCTTTTCTTAAACTAAGATATGATTTCATGTTTGAAATGTACTTGATGGTTGCTTGTTGGTCCCCTTTCAGACTGGTAAATACAAGGCAATACAAGCTGGTACATCCAGTTTTTAAAACCTTAGTCTCAATATGCAAAATTAGTCATTTGAGCTAATACTTCTGATATGGTCTTTAGTCTTAACACCATTGATATTTTGAACAATTTTAGTTTCATGTTGAGTGTTATATAATGAGAAAAGATCTCTTGTAATTGATATTTTATTAGCTTATACCGTGTTGTAGAGTTATTATAGTGGAAGCTGATTGTAGGGCAATAAGTATACATAATGAGCTTGTTAATTTAGTTTACTTGATGTTGACCATTGGTAGATATTGGAGAGTACTGTACTTTAAATTTGCTTTCCACATAAATCACTCAAGCGACAAGTGGGCATAAGAATCTTCACTGACTCTAAATCGATTATAGAATTTTTAATTTTTGACCTATTGCATCACTGACAAAGTGGGGTGGTCACTTTCTCACTTTTTTTTCCAAGTCATTTCGCTAGGTATTCTCTACATAGCTTTATATTTGGATTTGACTGTCTTAGAACTGGCAAATGCAGGCATTGCTTAAGAAACTTGATACGGGCCCCCCTAAAGTCAGAACTCAGGTAATTTTGTGGATATTTGTTGCCTCGGTTTTTGTCTTGTCTTTAGGTACAATATTAACTTTATCTTTATTTTAGATTTGCGTTGCTGTTGCTGCTTTGGCTGTGCATGTATCTGTCGAAGACTGGGGAGATGGTGGTATTGTAAATTGGTTAAGCAGTGAGATGAAATCTCATCCTGAGTATATGAGAAGTTTCCTAGAGTTGCTGACTGTCTTGCCTCAGGTATATCTTTTTGAAGTTTCAACCTTCTTCATATGTGCTGAAAATAACATAACAGGACATCAGGACCATAAAACTGAAAATAGAATAAAGAAAGTAGTTCTGGCAGAAGCTATGCTGCATAGTGCCTCTTTGCACACAGCTTCTTGTAGATTTGTTTGTACTGGTTATTCTGGTGACAATGTGCTATTCTCCTCTCTTCGTGCCTTGTAACCTTGGCTATCATTCTTGGAACTGAAATTAATTTGGTCATAAATTACTACCTTGTAAACCTTTTCCTGAACATTCTGGAATTTCGTAGCTTCATTTGGACACTGTTGAATTTATAAATCTTGAGATAATTACCTAAGAGTTAGATATTGCCATCTGTCATCATACGTAAATGCCTTACATGGTTAATGGAAATAGGATTTTGAATATCTATCTTAAATTGATGGCTGTAAAAATGTGAATTTTCAATTTTCTGCTTGATTATTAGTAAAATTAATCTTTTCTGGAATCAATCAGATTTATAGAGATGATAATCATTATAAATAACTTTGAGGAGCTAAGAAGTTTATATACCAAATGGGCCAACTAAATATGGTATACTTTCTTTTGGACTTTATTATGGCAAATTTCTCTGTGTGGGCATCCTTGGTTTGGCTGATATACACTCATATAGAGAGGCAAATTTTGGTAAAAGGCAGCCTAATTTAAGCTTAGTTTCACAATTCTTTTTTGTCAATCAAATGTGTAATGATAGCTGTGGTACCATAGCTTGGCAATTTGCATAGATAGATAAAATTTTGTATGCTAAGCAAATAAAGATTTATCTCCTGTCTTTGACTGGCTGTAAGGTGAGAAATTTGATCTTTTCTAGACTCTATGAAAATTTGCATAAATTTTCAGTCAGGGTTAGATGGATTTGAATAAGACCTGTAAGAATAAAATTAGAATTCGAACATAGGGTCCAATATTGGTTGTCTAGACATGAGGATAAAGAAAAGAATAATATCCTGGAGGAGAAGGAAATACAGGTATACGAAAATTGAACTTGTTTATTTTGGTTGACTTAACAAAATCATGAAGCTGTGGGGGAACTAAGTCACTAACTAGAGCATGCATTTTATTTGCCCAATTGCCTAATTTTTGACCTTCAATGTCATTACCTAAAAGGTAGAAGATTTTTTGTTCTCTTGGGAGAAAAAGAGCACTAGTTCTTTTTTCTTGTTATTCTGCATATATTTCCTTTTCAATGCCAAAAGACAGAACAAGATTTTGTCCAATTACTTTCCCAGCAATGCACAGAGCATAAATGAGAATACAGGAGTTCTACTGAAGCTCATATCTTCATGCAGTGTACAGTATAAGTCTTTTATAAACATGAAAATTTGTAGAAATTGAGTAGAAATATTACCTTACCACCATGGATTGACATGGTGGAGAAAATATGAAGGTTTCATATGCTAGCTCCTGAATCCTGCTATAATTGTTGCTAGGTCTTATGCGGTTATCAATGGAAATAGATTCATTGATCATTATGATGGCCTTTGTACACTTCATTTATCAATGATATGCATTTCTAGTTTAAGCTATTTTGTTTTCAAGTGCTTTGGCATATTTAGATTATCATAGCAGGTGATTTTCTATTTCCTTGAAAATGGTAATTGGTGGATTCATCTGGATTTGCTGTGATTTGATATGTGGTGTTAACAGGATTGGTATTGTGGGCAATCAAGAAATCTAGGATCGGGTTTGCAGGATGATTGTATAGTATCATGTATCATTGAAAACTATAATACAAAATGCAAGAATCAAAAGCATAAAAATATAATAATAATTAAAAAAGTGAAAAAGGATCTTATATATGAAAAGTTTTCATGTTCTTACATGTAACATTTATAAATTGATTGAAATATACAATTGAGAAACATATAATTTACCAAGTCTTGAACTTTCCTACTGACAAAAAGTTTTCCCTTCTCCTTTCTAATTTCTATTGATTCTCTATTTTGCCCCACTTTTTCTCCCTCTTCTCTCTATCTCTCTTTTACAATATGTATCTCTGTTGAGACCAGACAAATAAATAATGATGTTGATTAATGAGAGTGATGCTGTTATCCATGAGGAAATTTCTATTCCTGCCCCCTCTCTTTGTTCCTTTTCTTTGTTGTCTTCTTTGGCTGTTGCGGTTTTTTCTTCTTTTCTTTGTTGCTGCTGTCAACTTTACTGACTCGCCCTCTTTCACCCCTTCTGTTAGGTTTCAGCATCAGCCAAATTTGGCTGTTGTATTTGTGTTTATATTTTCTACCCCCCTCTCTCTTCGTCAAATCTATTGATTCACCCTCTTTAACATTGGCATCATGTCACCATGCAGACTCACCAGGTTCTATTCAATATCACCTTTTCTGCCTTAGTTGGAACTTTCTTGTGCCCCCTGGTTGCAATTTTCTTTTGTTCTTTGTCCAAACAGGATGGTCTGAGCCGACTGGCCATGGTTATTGGCATCATGCCATTATGCAGAGTGAAGATTAATTATGTTCTAGACTTCTACATTAGCCAGGCATGTTCTTTCATATTTTGTCTAACCACACCAATTTCTAGTTTCTGGGTGTGCCCTCTCATAATCCTATCCTGTATTTAAGATAGTGCTCTCTTAAGGCAACATGTTTTTGAGCTGAAAATGTTCTACACTTAATCCTATTTTGCATTTAACATAGTGTCCTCTCATAATCCTATCTTGCATTTTTCCTAACTATGTTCTAGCCTTCTACATGAGCCAGGCATGTTCTTTCGTATTTTGTCTAACTGCACCAATTTCTTTTTGTGGGTGTGCCCTCTCATAATCCTATCTTGCATTTAATATAGTGCTCTCTTAAGTCTTCAACATGTTTTTGAGCTGAAAATGTCAGGAATTAAGAAACCCACTGAACAATAAAATCCGTGTAGTATGTTGCTTTATGTAAATCTGAATATTGCAAACTAGAGTTAAGTTTTTGTTGACTTGAATATTGCAACAGAACTAGCAATTTTGAGACCATGAGCCTTCATATCACATAGGGTTGCTTCTTTGCAACTTGGATGATCAGGTTTCGAGTCATGGGAACAGCAAAAGCTGACCTTTCCTAAGCTCTGTATTAGCACGAGTTCCATGCACGCCACCCTTTTCTTAATCTAACATTCTAACAATTTTGAGCAGACAGTCCAGCACACTTGCATTGAAATAACTCTTCAACATTGTCTTTTGATTCCAGTAGTTGCTGGTTCTGCTTATCTTTAAATTGTTCGTATATGACTTCTGAGTGCTATTTCTTTCATTTACTTCCAAGAGTCTTTGATTCCTTGTATCTTTTCTCTGCAGGAAGCTCATAGCTATAAGATAGCCGCTCGTCCCGAAAGGCGGCGTCAGTTTGAGAAGGAACTTATTTCATCAGCTGAAGTTGCTCTCAGTCTCTTGACTGCTTGTTTGGGTTTTGATAATTTCAAAGAGGAGGTAGATGATGCTTAATCACAGTTGATTGTTTTTTTCAGTGCACTACAAATAGTCCGTCTTTCGTGCAGTTAAAAATAAAATAGATCTTTTATAGATATTATGATTCAATCAGACAGATTATCGTTACTAGTTGATGGATTTAACTAGTTTATTCACATTCTTTTGATTTTGATTTTGTTCTTTTCTGGTTTTTGAAGAATACAGCTGGCCCAGCCAACGATTGACAGAATTTTCTTATTTGCCTTCTACCAATTGGTTTTCACTGTCCTCAATTGTGTTTAGTACTTGAATCTAGGTTCATTCACTCTAGGACCATTTTCAACTAGGCTAGTTAAGGTTGGATGTTATTTGTTGGATAAATGTTCTTAGTTATTATTAGTCATTGTTGATTCTCATTGTGGACTTTCTGATTAAATCACTTAAATAACTGTTTGTTCATAACTCTGGAAGTAAATTTAGGGTTTATAATCTCTTTAAAAGGTCTTACAGCTGTATTTTCTTGACAATGGTTGGATGGATACTTATTTCAATATGATCAACCATGAAAATTTCTCTTTAGTTTTGATGCTGAGATGGGTGTAAGCACCATAAAAAACGGTGACTTCCATTCATCAATTTCTGTCTGTTATAATCTGTACTTACTCTATTATCTTTTTTTTCCCTTTATGCATTGGTCTTCTTTCGTACTAGTTCTTGCTTGCATCATAAGTTTTGACTTTCGCTATATTTCTAATTACAGAATAATGCTTCAAGTTTCCTTCGCTTGATCTTATGCTTGTTTGACATGCTAATTTAATATCGTTGATCAAATATTCATATTCATCTAGCAAAAACATTTTGAGTTCCTTTTCTTAGTTAATGAGTTATAACAATTTGGACCTGGAGCAAAATTTTGAGCTGGTATGCACTTGATTTCTAAGTCCTTTAACATGATTTATGTTCTCTGTAGTCTGTACCCTCTCTCAGTGATTACATATTGAGCCCAATGTTCTTGTTTAAGCTTGACCCACTTGCGGTCTGTCTGAATAAAGTTCTTAGTTTTACCCTGTTTGCTTTGATGTTGTTATATACTGTTAGAGTAAAAATTATGTTGTTGCAATTACTGGAAAATGATTGTATAAAACCTGCAAAAAACTCATGAGAGCTAAATGTGGTCAGCTAGGTTATCACTGTTAAGAATGTTGACTGTGTGAATTTTATAATGGTACTACCCAACATTATTCTCTGACAGGTTCTGGAGGGTTTTGCTTCATGGCTTCGCTTGAGCCGTGGGTATGAATATTGTAATTGGAATATATGAAACTTTTCTTTTTGAAACTCTATAGGCTATTTGAAAAGAATTTGAGTTTTGTTTAATTTTGAGGAAGTCTCTATCATGCTTATTGTTTAGAAACTTCTGACATGGTCTCTTTTAGGATTCCTGCCTCTACACTTGCTTCCCATCCTCTAGTGCATGCAGCTTTATCGAGCTTAAGTTCAGAGCAACTTTTGGAGGCAGCTGTAAATGGTATGTAAAAGAACCATTTTAACATACTTATAATAAATAGATATGTAGTTGATTGATTAATCGAGATCTTTGACATGTTGACTTTATCTGTTTTCTGGAGTTTATATATGCATAAATAACCAACCAGAAGTTGGCTCGATATAGGACTCTCATAAGTGTATGACATATATTCTTGTTAACCCAAGGGACCTCTTAAAATTGAACTGAATGTGTATCTGCAGAAACGTCATCTCTTTTTCTTAAATACTGGTTGAAATGGGTTTGTATCGATATGGGATGCAGCTGGTATGGCACATACTAATTAGTAGCTCTGTATGGACTGAAACGACAATCCTTTAAATTGTAAAGTTATTTTAATGTTGCTTTGTTTTTTATTCTACCCAGAACATGTTAGTAATAGGGAGCTAGTCTGTGAAGTTGTTCGACTTCAGTGGTTATACACATATTTAGAATTTAAAAACCACCAAATGGATGTTGTTCAACCATGTGCAACATAAAACAGTTCTGCACCTGTTGGTTTGGGGGGTTTATCTTCATGGATTAAGGTAATATTGAAAAAAAGAGGGTCCATGAAAGACTTGAATGATTGTGTTGAGAAACATGAAATCATTTAGGATGATCGTCTTGCAGTTATAGTGAACTTTGCTTTTATTGCATTCTTTTGACAATTTTATGTATCCTATGCAGTGATATCAGAATTGATACACTTCACTGTATCTGGAGGTTCCGGTGATCTGTCTGCACAAATGCCACTAATTCATGTTCTCGTGCCTCATGTAATGAGTCTGAAGGAGCAACTTGGAGATTCTTCAAAGGTATAGATGCTGCCTCCTCTTTTTGATTGTCTTAAATTTCTTTATGAAATTGGTTACTGGAACCTGTTAAATTGAAGTTGCTATATGTGAATATTATCACTTACGTCAATATATACTTCTTATTCTTGATCTCGTTGAAATATGTTTAGATTCTGGAATAAATATTCTTGAAAGTAATTATTAGCTTATTAAATGAGCTGTTTCTGACAGCTTTTTTTTATAGAAAGCAATCTATATATACTGATGCAAGGAACCCCACAAGGTTTATACAGCATTCTAGGCTTTCTATGAAACTTGGTATGTATCGGCATACCGATACTGGTCCAGGTCTGGAGCAGTAGGTCTGGTGCCCGAGATTGTATTCCTTGGGCTCTACTATAACCCATCACTGACAAGATGATGACATACATGTGGGTAATCTTGGGGAGGAAAGACTAATCCCATCATCTTGTGGCTATCCTCATTAGAACCAATTGGTGAGAGTGCTATTCTGCCTACCCAAATCAATCAAGTGGTAGCACTTATAGGTTGAGCAACGGGAAGGAAGTTGTGGATGTTGAAACGCCATCAACCATCGTTACAGAACAAGAGATGTCACCCATGATGACCTCCACTATGCTCAACCAAATTGCATAGGCTCTTAAAAGGGGCTGACCATACTATACTAGGAGGACCACCTTTTGCACTGACATACACATTGCAATTACCAGCGCAACAATTGCCCGTACTATTGTCCTAGCTGCAAATACATGCAATTTAGGAGTGGGTCAACATATTCTACATCTCCAATGGTGATTACTAAGCATCTGCAATGCTTCTGGTGGATGCTTACATTCTCCTGCTGCTATCAATAACACTATCTCCTTCTTGGTGATATTAACAGCCACAATATGACTTATATTGGAGTTGCTTCTGTGCATAATTGTTGCCTTCCCAGTTGATTTGCATGAGCAGTCAACTGCTCCATTCAGTGTAATTACAATCCTTTGCCTGGTTGATAACAGTACCTGCGTAAGCTTTGGCTTTATGCAGCAGATTGCCAAAATCAACTTCCCGAAGTTAAGCAATGAACCTGATTGAATGAATATTTTCTGTTGCAATTCTTCTTTTTTTGTGACACTACACAAAAAACAGGTGTTTGCTTCTATGCATCTGGAGAATGCAGGAGTTCATTAACACTGCAACTTGGTTGGAAGATGGTGCATATGGTAACCCAGAGGGTAACGATGATATGGTATTAGGAGGTATTCAAGAAGCATGGCGATATGGTCTTTAATATTTCATAGTTCAATTGGTTGGAAGATGGGCTGGATCTGTAGCGGTCAGAAATGTTAGTTGCTTTGAGAGTTTCAAAGAACTACTTTCCTATTTGATGCCAACAGACACAAACATTGTATAATGTTGTGCGGGAAAGGTCTCAATAGAGGTGCATTGTGGGTTGGATGGCCCAGGTTTGATGTGATGTCGTGATCTTATAGAGCTGGGCATGACCATGTGCTACAATGTTGTTATGGGTCATGGTCTGCAGCATGAACCGGGTATGTGCTACGATGTTGTTATTGGGAAATGTTAGCAGGATTAGAAATTTTAATTCCCTTTTTTTTTATAGCTTTCCATTTTGTTTGTTATGAATCTGATAAGATCCAACATTTTGTCTAGTCCTTTTGTCTTGTAGGCAAATAATTTACATTACCCCACTCCTAACCAAACAATCTTTAAATAATCAGGAACATGTTTACATGACAGACCTTAATTAAATTTCTTGAGTTCACTATTGGGCTATTTTTTCTACTTCTATGTTCTTTTATAGAGAGATATAGTTACATGACTGCTGGTTTGTGCTCTTTCATGGCCATCATGCCTAATCAGTTTCTCATGTACCATGTTATGAATTAGTGGAAGCCACTAATTCATGGTTGTTTATAAAACTTGAAGGGCAAGGTTTGAAATTAGTTTTATTCATCTCATTGCATAAGCCTATAGGAGTAAAATACCTACTCTAAATGAACTAGGACCCAATATTGGTGCACTGTGTTCTTTTTCTTGTTTGTTTGTAGGGGTCCACACTTTATGTGGCCCAAATTGCAATATGAACAATATTGCATAGAAAGTGGGATATAGTTAACATGAGAACGCTGAAATTTTACCATCATGCACTTATGGTAATTTAAAAGAAAAAATTGAATTGAACAAAGTAACTACACTAAAATATATGAAAGGGCATGCTCCAACCTTTACAACATGAAAGGAACTGGATTCAAAGCCTATTCTGAGTTTGCAGGTTGATGCTAATGAAACAGATGTAAACAGTAAAGATAAAGATCTAGTCCTTAGTAACTATTGACTTTGTTCCTCTTGGTATCATGTTTTCTTCAGAATTTTATGCATTTTGTTTTCTTGATGTTCAAGATACTACACAATCTTGGCTACCTCTTTGATCTTGTCAAAATTAATGGTCAGGATGAAGAAGATGTGAAGGCCATTGCTCGCTTGTTTGCAGACATGGGGGATTCCTATGTAGAGTTGATTGCAACTGGTACAATTGCAATTTGTTGAATTTTTTTATCATGTTCAACTCAGTAATTTCTTGTTGGAACTTGGAAGTTTTGGTTGTTTCTTCCATCCGCTTGACACTGATATTTTTTTGCAGGTTCTGATGATTCAATGCTTATCATACAAGCACTGCTTGAAGTTGCTTCACACCCTGAATATGACATTTCATCAATGACATATAACTTCTGGCACAACCTCCAGACTATCTTGACCAGAAGGTAACTGTATATAATAGTCACTTAAATCTGGTATTTCTGTTTAATCAGGAAATAGTTGCATAAACTATAAACATTCCAGGGAATCATACTTGACATATGGATCTGAGGGTTCAATCGAGGCAGAAAGGAATAGGAGGTTACATGTTTTCCGTGCACCATTTGAGATGCTGGTTTCTCTTGTATGTACAGCTGAATTATATCAAGTGCTATATAGATGTTATTGGATAATTCTTAACAACTAATGAACTATACCTTCATTCGGTTTCAGCTTGATTTCTTTGTTTCACTTTTCCTGATAATTCTGCTTACTCGACTCTAAAACATTTTTTGCCAGGTAAGTTTTCGAGTTGAATATCCAAAAGACTATGAGGAACTGTCAGAAGAGGACCATAAGGATTTTAAGCATACTAGATATGGTAAAAATGGACTTCTTTTTTAAAGCTCTCTTTTTAGTTCTTGTTTTACTTGTTTGAATATATGAATACTCTCTATTGTGCAGCATTTTGTTTAGATCAGTGTCTGCCATACCGAATCGTACCGCCCGGTACGGGCGGTACATACCGGTCCGACAGGCCAGCGGTACGCGGACCACCTGGTACCGGTCCGCACTGTAGCAGTGCTACAGTGCTCGGGACACCTGGGTGTACCGCTCGGTACACCGTACTGTACTGGTACCGAGCCCAGGTCGAAATACCGGTACGGTACGGTATTGCGAACCTTGGTTTAGATGTCTGATGATCATTTTTGTTGTCACTTCTAGACCCACTAACAACAGTTTTATGTATGTTTAGTTGTGTCAGAAGTGCATATTAATCTAATAAAATGCATATTGGTATAATATAGTGAACTAGTTAGGTTTGTTGTTGTCAAAAATACAATTAGTCTTTTCATTGTGGAAGTCAATATATTTCTTTAGGCATGGTTTCTTGCTAATTATGCCTGTCATCCAGCACTTTTGTGAAGTAATGAATTTTCTTTTCTTTTTGGTAGCTGTTAATGATGTATTAATTGATGCGACAACCATTCTAGGCGGTGAACAAACACTTAAGATTCTCTCCATGAAGCTATTTCAGGTGAGACTTCTTTGTTTCTAAATGACTATTTATGTTTTTTAGATGTTTATTTTATAGTGATTGTTTACTCTTATTTTTTATAGTGAATGTTTACTCTTTATTTTTAGGGAGGGGGAGGGAGAGAGAGAGAGGGAGATTTCTGTTAAAACACATTTTATTATAAGACTCAAGGCAAGAGTAGTAGACAAAAGATACCAAAGAATGCATTTTTTAGTTTAAGTGAATAATGGTCAACATTGAGAATTGCTTCTAGAGTGTGCTGTTATAAACTTATATATCATAAGTTTATGGAAAATTTTATGAAAAATGTAATTGATGTGGATACTGGTCTTTACTATTAGCTTATACAATTGTTTTCATTGGGTGATTTTAGTTATTTGCATCAACTAATTACATGGGGCAACAAGATCCTTTTTCAGTCAAAGCTTTGGCTGTTATTCCACTGCTGTGTAGAGCAGGTATCACCAGCAAGTTGAAATCAAAGAAAACTTTTCCTGCTTAAGTTCTTAACATCCTAATCAGCATCTGGTGGGGTTGAGTGGCATCTTTGGTCACAATGCTTGGTGCTCTTTTACTTCTGTTGTTACATCTGGTGAGGTATATTGGGGGTGTGCTGGGGGTGCCACAGGTCCCAGACATTGGTGAACTAAGTTATGTTGCTGATTGGATATGGTGATTTTGGTTATATGCAAGAGCATTGTCTTGCTGCCGCAATTCCCTATGCTGGTTGGAGCACTTTGCTAAACCCTGTGGTGCATATATTGATGGCAGCACAAAATTGAAGAGTGAAAGAAAATGAGTAGGGAAGGCAGTGGATTGATTTGACAAGGGTGATAGAATGCTCCATGTTGGTTACAGGACATTGGCATTGTCGTGTGTATGATGTGTGTCATGGTTATGACATGATTACAAAAGGAAGAGAGTGGGATAGAATAGAAAAGGGTTATTTCCTTATGGTCTGCAGGTTGACAAAGGATGGCTTAAAATTGGGTATGCCAAGTCATTACCTAGATACGAGGGCATTGATGTTGATATCCAATTGGCTTGCGTGTGTCTCATGCTGCACAGCTCAGGACACATGGTAAAGGCAATTCATAATCTGTGTCAAAATCAATTCTATTATAGTGTTTGGTGCTGATTGATTTTTTTTTGTTGACTTAAGCCTTTAATCCAACTTTTTTCTGTCACATCATAGGCTGTTGGAAATCACAGACATGGAGAGAGCTTCAAATGGCAGCCTGTTGAGGCTGCACTATTCTGTATACAAGCAGTGGCTAAGACTGTTTCAACTCAAGAAGCAGAAGTATTGCCCCAGGTAGATTTATCAATTTGGGTCATATCTGAATCATTGTTGCTAAACAATTCTAGTTTTAATACGTTGTCAGTTCACAAGAACAGTCCATTAAGTAAAAGGCACCAGATTTGTCTACACGAGAGCCATTTTCTTTTGTATTGGTGTCTACTTATGCTAATTTAAACAAACTGATAAGCTGAATTTCTCTAGTTGTTTGTTCCTTTTCTTAATTAGCAAGTTCGATAAACATTTTAGTTCTTTTCCTTGATGCATGGTATTGATTTTCTACTTGATATTGGGACTGGTGGGAATCAATTATCCAGCAATGCACCATCATGTCCTAAATTTCTTCAGGGACTGAGTCCCTTGGACTACAGGGATAGTTGCATGCATCTTGTGGAGTCAAATGATCTAGTCTCTGTAGAGTATATAACTTTATTGTTCAGTCAGTCTAAAATGGCTGCAGTTTTGGTGATCTCCAGGATGTAAATAGAATTTCTGAAGAAATTCTGTTATTTGTTGTACTTAATAATCTTTAAATGTTATGGACTCTGGGATATCGGATGCTTCTACTGGTGAGAAATCTAAAATTGTGTAAGTGGATTGTGCAGTGGGGATCTCGATAAAAATTTTCTGGAAGCTAACGAGTTTTGGGTGGCTTAAAAAAAAATTGTCATACTGCTGTATATAAGGATCCAAATGGTGGTCCAATTCCAATTTCATAACCTATTGGAGTGGAGTGGTACCTGTATACCGGGATGGTTTTACCAACATATACCATCTTGCATCACTGAATAAATTAAGAAAATAGAAATAAATTGTATGTATGTACCAGTTTCAAGCTATACTCTTCAATACTGTCATTCAGTTGGACTGGTAAATATCAATCGGTAAATATTGGTCCAGCAGTATTCAAATTCTTTGTTGTTTATACATTTGTGTGGTGTATATGCTTGTAATTATTAATGAGAAGTTTCTCTCACAGTATGCGCCAAACAGACCCTGATCTTTAATAATTGCTAAACATATCCTCTTTTGGATCCTTAAAATAGTGATGATTTAATCCAACAATCAAGCACTATTTCTTTCATCATCATGTGTCAGTCAACTCTAATCTGATTATCTGAGGCATTGTCTTTTTAAACTCGTATCTGCACTATGGCAGTCAAAATATGATGTTGGGAATAGGAAATAAGGATGTAATGCATGAACTATCATGGATAGTTCGGTAAATGTTGCAGCTATGGTTATTTAAAGTTAAAAAATTGAAGATTTTTGTTCCATGGGTTCCACCTACTCTCAGTAGAAGTTTCTGAAGTTCAGGTCAGTTTTTATTTTAAATATTAATGGATGGCTGTTACCTCACCATGATCTGAACCCAGCACTTGGGCACCATCTTGACATGGATTAGAACTTGGTTGCTTTTTTTAGATGAAAGGGAGAAACTAACCATTAGGTCATGTCTTGGTGCACCTTTGGTTTTATAGTTGCACAATGTCTGAAGTTCAATCTCATATCTGTGTCATCACTATGATCTTAATAATGTGATATCTATGCAGTATTACAAAGTTCTTGAACTTGGTGAGATATTGATCACCCCTTGAATAGTTGATAGTTACAGAATAGTCATTTTAAAGGTTGTTTTACAGAATTAACTAATGTGACAACTTGGTTCCTTGTGATTTAGCAAACTGAGTTAGGCTCGATATTCCTGTAACAAGGAGGAGATATGCCATAATGTCCCAACTATTTGGGGTCAGAAGCTACATGGATCTTTTGCCACTATTGAGCTCTGCACAAAGAAATCTCCTTAGTTAAATTAAGAGCATCCTGTAGCAAGGAGACTATGGTTTTAAAATTAAGGTGTTCCTTATGTTTAATATTTAGTGATTTGAAGAACTTTTATTGCCTAAAGAGTTTACTGTGTTAGTTCTCATTAAATGAATAAAGTGACTTCTTCCCTAGAGTTGTTTGCTTGCTGTAGTTGCTTCTAGTGTTACTTTGGCATTTCAGTTTGGTTTAATTTACATTTATTTGTGCAGATAAGATTAGCCCTTGGCAAATTGATCTCAGGTTCTGTTTGTTCCTTTGGTGTAGTATAGTTGTCACATTTAATAAACTTCATTCTATAAGAGGGTGGTTCAAGCAGTAAGAAATTCTTTCTCAATTAGGCATTTTGTGGACTTTGGGGCTGAAATGATAATTCCAAAAGTTCCAAAACAACTTCATACCATTATTCTCACCGAGGAAGCTCCAGTGACTCTTGAACTTTTTGGTTATGATGGGGTCTATGTTGAATTAAGCATCTTAACTTGAGTTACTCCCTAGGGCCTAGAAAAGCTTGGGGCTACTTAGATATGTTTGCTTAGCTAAATTTTTTATGCACATATGAGTTTGCCTTTTAGTTTATAGAAGTACACAATGCATACATGTAAAATAGAAAGAAATTGTCCAGTGTACATGGTTATAACTATTACTTCCACATCGTTGCACTGTGTTGTATTTGTGAGTTCAATTGATGTAACAAACTACTAGATATCATTAGGATTTGGTGAAATGGAAATGTTCATGTTCATTTGTTTGAAGCAAAGATGTAGTAGGTTTCTGAAAAGAGCATGGGATCGATAAGAACTGTAAACAATAGTAACTCAAAAGAATGGGATGATTCTCATTAAGTTTGTAGCTTGTGGCCTAGAGCTATCATGTAGGCTTTGTCCACTGCTTGAGCATTAGGGTTGATTGATCACTTGTTGTATAGGATATTTGACAACCAAGCCCTGTTGTGTAGAAATATAATTTGCCGCTTCTGTGCTTATATAATTGATAGCCCGGGGGAAGTGTACTCTGTACTGTAATATCATTTTATTTATAATTAGATATCCAGTAGAAGTATTTGCCATTAGTTTACAAGTAATAATTTATGGGGTTTTTGATGGAATGTGCTTGCTTAGATCTTATATGTATTCTGCAGATTATGGCGTTACTTCCAAAACTTCCTTATGAACCTTACTTGTTACAAACAGGTACTTTTCAACATTGTTGTACACATTCATTAATGTTCTCAGGTAAAACTTGTTTCATACGTGTGCAAGACTACAAGTATCAGTAATTGAGCTCAAGTTTTTTGAAATTCCCCAGTTTGTTCTACCATTGGAGCATATTCAAAATGGATTGATGCTGCTCCGGTTGAACTTTCAATCTTGCCACCACTAGTTGATATTCTTACCAAGAGCATGAGTGCATCAGAAGACTCTGCAGCAGCTGCTGCAGTTGCATTTAAGTATATATGTGAAGGTACATAGCTATAACTGCACAAGTTCTTGGCTACTCTTTTGACGTTGATTTTGAATGCTACTGATGAAGGTTACAATCTTATCAGTTCACTGAAATATTATGAAGGTTCCAACTATTCATAGAATTTTCTTAGTATTATTGTCCATCCTCAAAAAAAAAAAAATCTTAGGTCCTATTTTGCACAACATAGCCTGTGCTCATCAAATTTTGATGCTGTTGTTAAAGACCGATATATTTTTGTTGACCTGATTATTAGATTGACTTGTTTTAAGTTACCATGATAGCATTTGAAGTCTCACTTTATGTAACCTACCAGGCTGGATTTAAGCAAACAAGCCATAGCCTTTCCCATACCTAAATTGGTGCTACATTTTAAAATGGTCCAATAATGTGTTTCTTTTCAATCATATTGCTCAAGTTTAGTCCCATCCTCCTCTTATCTATTGGGGTCTTGGCTTTGAGTAGGGATGTCAATTATACCTGTGGGGACCCACCCCTGATTGGCTGGGGATAGAGGGCATTTTATATTACTCGTGCAAATACGGAGTGGGGACGAGTATAGCACTCTCCACTTCGTACCTGTACCCAGCCCATTAATACATGGGCTGAGATGCTAGGCCCAAACACTAGGCGGGCCAGACTTTTATTATTCAAAGTAGATTGGGTGAACCTTGATTGAATCAATTATGATTCAATCAAGAACCATTTGGCTCAATGGAATCAAATGAAAGATTTCATCGTTCAACGGTAACAACTCCTCTCCGTGGTCCTATGCACTGCACACACCCAATCCCGTGTTGCGGTGGCTGTTTTTCTTAATTGATTGAATTAATTAGGAGGATACGGAGAACTTGCGGGTTCCTTGCCCCTAATGGGGATTCCCAATATCCACCCTCGCCCTGCCTAAATAGGGAATGGGGTAGGGATGGGGGATGAGACGGGCATGGGGATGCAGGAAGCATTCCCTGTCCTGCCCCTCCCCGCACTGTTGACTTCCCTAGCCTCTTGAGTGCTATACTTGTTTATGATAAATTGAATGTTCTTTTATGTTTCTCTATTTGTTCTGAATGATGATTCCTTATTTTATTCCTTTAATGCTGGTTTGACTGCTTTCTCTTGTTTAGATTGCAGCAGGAAATTTCTTGGAGCACTGGATGGTCTTTTCCATATTTATCATATAGCCATTAGTGGAGAAGGGGGATATAAAGTGTCTTCTGATGATTCAATGCATTTGGTTGAAGCATTGAGGTTGTTCTGTTTTCAATAGTGTAGTCATCATTGTAGTTCAGGATTCTGTTGGTGCTTACGAAAATATATTGCAGTGTGGTCATCAAGGAACTTCCACCTGAGCATGCCAAGAAGGCTTTGGAGCTAGTTTGCCTGCCAATTGTTACTCCATTACAAGTAAGCACTGACTTTATAATGTGTTGACAAGTATTTGAAACATTTCACTTTTCTAATCCATTTGCTTTTCTGAAAAAAATCAGGAGTTTACGAATCAAGGTGGAGGATCTATACAGGAAACACCTGCAAGTCAGCTGACGATTCATATTGACCGTCTTGCATGCATTTTCAGGTAGTGGTTAAATTTTTTTTAAATTGATGGTCATATAGTTTTGGAGGTTGATTATATAACTGCAAGTGCACTTTCAGGAATGTAAGTCTTCCAGAAATTGTAGCAGAAGCAGTCAACAGGTTCTGGCCAATTTTCAAAACTATCTTTGATCAGTAAGGATCAGATACCCTCCTGAGGCTATAATACTTATGATCTATACGTGTACCATATCTGTAGAAATCAATTCTCATCTTTTTCTGATGTAGTCGTGGCTGGGACATGCGAACAATGGAGTCTCTATGCCGTGCCTGTAAATATGCTGTAAGTATGTTGTATATTTTTTTATTATGGGAAAGGTCCTTCAAGTTGGTTTCTGAAGCAGCCATTCATTAGTATGATTGGATTGTCTGGCAACATATTGGAAGGTCACTATCTACTAGTATAGTATTATAGTGACATTGCACCGATGCATAGATTTTTAAGTTTGTTGCTACTGGCATACATCTGCTTGGCATCTCAAATTGACCTAAACTAAGTAGTCCATTTGCTTTTGTTGTCAGGCTATGATGATCAATAATTGGACTTTGGAGACATCATTACCCTTTCTACTAGTTTAGTTTGTTCTGTTAGGCTATAGGGACCAATATAGATGATTGCAATCTCATGGCCGGTTGGTGAGGTCACTGTTGTTTGATGTATGTTCCTTCTCCCTCCTTGCTGTAGGCTGGCAACTATTGGAGGAAATTGGTGGATGGTTGACAGCTATATTTATATTCGTATAACTAAAAAAATCATTGCATTGCCATAACCACATGATTGTCATATATGGCTAGAGTGATCGTACTATAAATCAAGATTGGTCTTGTACTGTTTCACATTTGGTTTGCAAGATTCCATATGAATCATGTGATTATTCAATATTTTTTAGATACTCAGGGATGTGGTGAATTAAGCAAAACTAACATCGGCCAACTTGTAGTTGCTCATATTGCTCATGGATTATAGTGAACATATTGACATGATCAAGTTATGGGTCCTGGTATGTTGTTTATCACTGGTGATTCTTATGAGCATGTACTATGGTGATGATAGTGTATGCATTAACTCTAAGCATAATGATTGTGATTGAACACTTAAATTTGTACTCTAAAGATGGTGAGTTAATAGGGTAGGTTAGTATGGCACTTTTAAACTGTATAACTTTTGTTGCCATGGTTTACATAATTTGTGCTTATAATATTAAATTACAGAGAAATTTCATGCGTATTCCTC